GTCCTTTTGAGCAAAGCGAAGCTAGAACTGGATTGTTTCTCTACGAGATATTTCTTTTTGACATAGCAAGCTCGGTTTGGAACCGCTGATGTTCAGATACAAAAACTGGACCTCGCCCGGCCCTTTTTTTAAGAATTGCGGAGCTAAATCGGAAAAAATAAAATAAAAATCTCCCGATAGCTTTATCTGGCGCGCCTCTCTGCAAACGTGGAGCCCTCCGGAGCAATCGCCAAAGAGATGGCGACTTCCCTTCCAGCATCAGGGCTAATTCACCTACCGACCGGCTTTCCCTCCGTTATTTCCTCCTCGCTTTGATTTTGCTCGCCTTGATAAAAGAAAGAAGTTGTTTTATTTTGCCGCACTCTCTCTCTTAGGTCAGCCGCAAACTGTTTACAAGACCTATGGCGTCCCCAAAGAAGGCCCGAAGAGCTGCAGGCGCAAGTTGTGTAAACCAGGGGTCTCCAACCTTGGCAACTGTAAGACTTGTAGACTTCCAACTCCAGCAAAGCTGGCTGAGGAATTCTGGGAGTTGGAAGTCCACCAGTCTTAAAGTTGCCAAGCTTGGAGATCCCTGATGTAAACCTGATTTTGATTCTTTCCCTCCGATAATTTTGCCCCATTTTCCCCCATTTTTCTTTAAAACTAAGAGCTAGATCGCAGCAAATCACACTTCTCACATTTGCTATCCTCCACTGGCAACTTAAAGGCGAAGGCTGCCGGCGTCTTGGGGTTGCATCAAATAAAACATATCCAGGAAAAGCAACCTGGGCATTTATTTGCACTTCAGGCTTTTCCTAAGCGCGTGAAAAGGCTACTTCTTCTACGTCCGTATCGAGAATCGGCGTCCCCCCCACCCCCTCCGCTTTTCAGAGGCCGCCGCAAACTTGGAAGAACTCAAAACGACCAAAGGGACGGATTACGGAAGTCGGCGGGAGTCGGTTTCCAGCACGGCTTCAGGACCGGGCATTCATTCTTGGAAATGAGCATGCGCAAAGGACGCCATGCCGGAAATTAGCGTGGCAAGCACGCTCTCGATTTAAGTGGCGTTAGGGCAGTGTTTCTCAACCTTGGTAGCTTGAAGATGGGTGGACTTCAACTCCCAGAATCCCCCAGCCAGCAACGCTGGCTGGGGGATTCTGGGAGTTGAAGTCCACCCATCTTCAAGCTTCCAAGGTTGAGAAACACTGCGTTAGGGAGTGGTGCGGATCTTAGATAACCGCGAAAGCTGTTGAGGATCAATGTGGGTCTGCAAGAGAAGTGAGCCTTATGAGGGGCTAATACAAAGCGTTATAAATTTATCCCTGCAATGGCCTACTCCATATATATGGATATATATTTCGCGGTTATCTAAGATCCGCACCACTGCCTAACGCCACTTATATGATATATGATATATATATATCACCCCCTACCAGTGGTAAAATCCAATTTTTTTTACTACCGGTTCTGTGGGCGTGTCGGGAAGGATACTGCAAAATCCCCATTCCCTCCTCCCTCCTGGGGGAAGGATATTGCAAAATCTCCATTCCCACCCCACTCTGGGGCCAGCCAGACGTGACATTTGACGGTTCTCCGAACTGCTCAAAATTTCCGCTAATGGTTCTCCAGAACTTGTCAGAACCTGCTGGATTTCACCCCTGCCCCCTACTCCTAAGGGGTCGTGCATAAGCGCACCAGCGTGCCTACCATCCCTGTCCTACTATCACCATTTATACGTACTCATGTGTTTATGGCTATGTTTTGCTTATTTATATCCATTTATTTGTGCCAATTTTCATGTGTCCATGTCTGTGTGTATATTGATACTTGTTCCTTGTACTTGTTGACAAATAATTAAATAAATAAAATAAATATATTTGAATAAGGCAAATTAACCCCACGGCATCTTAATTGCCTAATGTTCTCTAGCAATGTTAGAGCCTTACTCCTAGAATTTAGGCTCTCGGAGAGATTAATGTCTTATATAAATGCCCCTGGGTCTGGGAGGGACTGCCAACCTAATTAAATCTTAACCATTCTGTTCTAAGTTGGGTGTGAATCGCTTGGTGATTTATCATTATGTTTTTTTTTTTTGTTTTGCATTCTCAATCCCTTTGGTAGAGTTGTGAATATGATTTATAACTCCCAGAGTAAATATTTTCATTGGTACAGGTAGTCCTCGACTTACAGCCAAAGCTGAGCCCAAAATTTCTCTTGCTAAGTGAGACATTTGTAAAGTGAGTTTTGCCCCGTTTTATGACCTTCCGTGCCACAGTTGTTAAGTGAATCACAGAAGTTAAGTTAATTACATGGTTGGCAGATAAATCAGATTTTCCCATTGACTGCTTCTATCAGAAGGTGATAGAAGGTGATCACATGACCTCAGACAACCAGCATAAAAAGGAGTAAATTGCCAAGTACCTGAGTTTTGATCATGTGACCATGGGGATGCTGCAATGGTTGTGAGTAAAAGGTCATAAGTAACTTTTTTTCAGTGCTGTTGTAACTTTGAATGGTCACTAAATGAACTGTACCTGTACTTATTTTCAGGTAGCTGTCCACAGGATCCCAGGCCCATATTGGCCTAGTTCTATGTCTTCACTTTTACTGGGGGACATTAGTGAGAATTAGGGCTCATGAGCTTGTCTGTGGTCACCCCATACGAAGACAATCTTCCATCTCAAAAGTAGTGCCTTTTGCTGGGCCAAGCCATGCTTACATATCACCCTGCTGCATTTAATTTCCTGTTTACGCCCTGTGGTGGGGATGCCCCTTTCTCTACAATGATTGCTGATGGCCCACCATAGCCATTTTGTTGTGGACCACTGGACTGCCTGCCCACTTCTGAATTAACTTCTCCACATGGACCAGTGAAAAACAATAGCTTTATTAACAAACAGGCTGGTAGATTGGTGAAAGAACGACCTTTTCTCTTTTTGTCAGGTTCACTGATGGCAAGTTTTAAAAAAACTCAGGTAAATGGATAACGGTTCTGCCAGTTTTCCCTTGTAGCCCAAGTAATAGGGAATGTTTTATTTCCCTCCTCACCCGTGGGTATACATGCTGGATTGAATGTGAGGGAGAGAGGCTCAAAGTCTTTGGGTGGAAGCCATATGCCCTCAGAGACACTTGCTTGGCAGATATGGGGGAGGGGAGCAGGGGGATCCACAAACCAGGGTCAATGGTAGCCATCATCCAGATACAGCCCTTGGCTGGCATGGCCACCAAAGCTGAAGAACAAGATTTAAATCTAGACAGCAATATCTAAAGCTAGCGTAATTTCCCAAGAGTTTCATCATGAGAGGCAAACAGCTTATGGGTGTCATGCCAAACAGACCTTAAGCTCAAGGAAATACAGAGCCTTGGCTGCTACCTAGACATATGTCTATTAAAATAAAAACATTAATCGTTTTAGGAGATAGTTTATTATTTAGGTTTGGTAGGCTAGTTTCATCATTCTTTATAAACAGTGACACCTAACCAAGAGTGACTGGCTTCAAACACAGTAATAAGGCATACTGAGGTTTATTTGGTTTTGGCTTAATATGTTGAGTGAAATTAACCATGGTTTATAAGCCATGTTATGTGGGTTAGAAATTGTATGTGAATTTATCTATGGCATGTTCTACAAAGAAAAATTAGAATGATGATGGTATAAAGCGAAATATAATTCTGCCACCAGCCTAGTTTACACCTAGCACCAATAAATAATGTAATTTGTTTTGGCTGTGTGAATCTAACATTTGTGATGTTAACATGTAGTTTATATGGTTTAGTTATTGTGTGAACTCAGCAAATGTAGTTTATTTAATAAACTATGGTTAATACAAACAATGGCTTGGCACATCATATAAACCCAGCTGTGACATGGTTTAGCTCCTCCAGCCCTCCACTATAGTTCTGCATATAGAATCTGCATTCACAGCTGATGCAGATTCTACCATTTCCATCATGCTGCTCTTTCTGCCTAGCATCTTTTGAATGCTTAGGTCAAATCTCAAAGTTGTTTATGGGAAATGTAACCTGCATCCTTTCCTATTTATCCTACATCCTATACCTGTGATGGCGAACCTATGTCACGTGTGCCACAGGTGGCACATGGAGCCATATCTGTGGGCACACGAGCATTGCCCTAGTTCAGCTCCAGTGCTGATTTTTGGGCCTTCCAGTCCCACTGGAAGTTGGGAAATGGGCCATTTCCGGCCTCTGGGTGGTGGTGTTTTCCGGCCTCTGGGTGGTGGTGTTTTCGCCCTCCCCTGGCTCCAAGAAAGCCTCTGGAGCCTTGGGAGGACGAAAAACAGGCCTACCCGGCCCACTGTGCCATCACGTGCCAAAAGCAGGGAGAGTGCAGGGGGGTCATGCATGCATATGTGGGGGGGGGGGGCGTATTGAATTATGGGTTTGGGCGGACATGTAGGCGACCCCCCTGCGCTCCCCCCGCTTTTGGCATGAGACGGCAAAAAGGTTAGCCATCACTGTGCTATACTGTTTTCTATTGACTTAATTTGGGATAAAGTATTTAAAGATATATGCCCCCACAAAAAAAGGTGTCAGTGATTTGTACCTGAAACATTATATTCTCCATGGCTATTGCAAGAGACAGCCGTGACAATTGGAGCCCCTATCTTTGGGGATGGGGTCATTAAAAAAAAAACAACTCACATATATAAGTTGAACAACAAAAATATATAAGTTGTAAAACAAAAATGTTCTACAAAATGAAGTTATTCTTATCCATAAATTACTTTGGATGATTTTTTTAAAAAGTAGACTATTGCAGTGCTATACTCAGGTGAGATGGGGGAAAAGAAACCATACCTGGCTTCAAGTTGACCTGTGTATTATATTCTGTGCCTCTAATATGCTGTCTGTGGGCAAATGGTGTCCCCTCCCCCCCCAACATACTATTTCAGCAGCTTGTACTTTTATTAAGGATGGGCATGAGGGAGGGGCATGGTGTTGTCTCCTTTTGCAATCTGATGTTTTCTCTCTCCCTTGTTCTTTCTCCCCCCCCCTTTTAGGGAAAACAATGAAAATTCCAGTTCCAATGGCCACAATCCGCTTTCTTCCTCTCTCAATGGCAATAAGACAGTTTTGGGCAGTTCCGAAGATGAGAAAACACCTTCCGGCACCCCGGACCATCATTCCTCCTCCAGCCCTGCCTTACTTCTCAATTCAAACCCAGGCTTACAGCCTCTCCATAACCTGGGCCATCCTCAGGGTCCTAGTGCCATTCCAGTTCCCAGCGCGGACCCTCTGCATCATCACAGTTTGCAAGACTCCATCCTCAACTCCATGTCTTCAAATCTGGTTGACCTCGGCTCTTAAAAATATTTGTTGAACCTACCATGCTCCCTGAACCCAGGCTCTCTCCATCTGGGTTGTCCTCTTCTTTTTTTCCTCCCCCCCCCCACACTTAATTCCTCTGCTCCACAAACCAAGGATCTGAAACCTTGGAAGGATCTATAAAACAGATCCGTTGTTTCACTTTGGATCAATTGCCGAGCAGCTGACTGACTGGTGCATACTATAAATTCAGAAACACTGTAAGCTGCTCAGTGACTTAAATCTTAAGAGGATGTGGTGAAACTCACTGCAGAAAAGTGGAGGACAAACATTACTGTAGGATGGAGGAAGTGAAGGAGGGGTGGGATGGTGGTTGGTGTAAAAGTTGTTTCTTTGACAGAATGAAGGCCGGGAGTCTCAGCCCACACAACCTCTTGTACGGGAGATCCGATCCAAAGTTGGATTTCAACTTCTTAACATGCCTCTGTAAATGTGCCTCAACCTGATCTGCAGGGATCAATTCACGAAGCTGTTGAGAACTGAAGAGCTGAAGCCAAAGCTCCATCAATTTCAGCAGGATATTGGGAAGCAATACTTCTCCCCTATGGTTGCTCCCACCACCACCTGGCACCCCATGGTATATTGCTTCTAAATCTGGAGGCTTTAGTAACTTGACAACACTGATAGTTTTATCTGCCATGAATTTGTCAGACCTTAAATCCATTTTTATTTTTTCTTGCTTGTGGCAGCAATCACTTGCCCATGTAATCGCAGAAATGTTAATGAAAGACTCTTGTCTAAAGCAGACACTTCTTCCCAGCCAGGCTGAGTGCAGGCTGCTGGGATTTCTAACTCAGTGACATCTGGAGGGAGGCCACGGGGACGCCATGCTACTTTCATCAGATGCAGAGGCTGCTTGACAAGTTGATGGTTCCATTAGATTTACAGTGTACTGCAGTTGGAAGTAAGGAAACCATTGGGACTCTTTTGCAAAGAATGGGATTATTTGCTTATTTCCAGGATCAGAGTGATAGGGCAACATTTTGTTTTTCTCCCAGAGCCGATCTGTCTCCTTTTTTGAGAATTCATCTAGTTTGTGCACAGCAGTCTATGAAATGCCTTTCCTTGTAGGCCAGAATCAAAGGGCCTAATAGAGAAAAGCAAGAGTATAACATGGTGCAGTGGTTAGAGTAGAAGACTAGGACAGGGGGGGTCAGGTTCAGATCTTCAGTCAGGCATGAAGCGCACTGGATAACTTTGGGGCAGTCACACTCTCTTAGCCAGCCTACCTCACCAGGTTGTTGTGAGGGTAACATTGGAGGGGGAGTATCCTATATGCTCCTTTTGAGTGTTTTGGTGACAAATGAGATATAAATGGTATAGAGAAGCCACACCTCTTAACTTATTTGAAGAGAAAAAAACATTTGTGATCATTGTATATGCCAATGCTAGCTATTCAAACGCTGTAATAGCCACCAGTTTGTAAAAAGCTCCTGGCTTCTAAGCATGACCTCCTCCAGATAATATTACCCTCCCTTGTAAGCTGATGCTATGCAAAGCACCTGATTGAAGGAAAGAGGAAAATGGGCTTCTTTTGCCTTGTATATTTCCCTACTGCCACCCACCCACCCAAACTTTTAGGTGGGGAGGACAAAGCAACGTCCACAGATCACTCAAGCCAGATACCTTGCCTCCACCTGATCCAGTAGCTACAAAGGTGAACCTGGGTGAGCTGCTTGACACTACAAACATCTTCCGCCTCAGTTCTTTCATCTGCAAAATGGGAACAAGGGCGAGTTTCCCCAGAAGGTTCCTGGTGAGGCAACTGGACAGCGTTTTGCACATTTAACTTTGAGAGAGCCTCTATCGCTCATTATTTTTAATGCTATCAATAGTGTTTCCCCCTGAAGCCTGTGGGGCCAACCTACGTCAAGGTGCTTTATTATCCAGTCTTAGGCGAGCCCTGGATTTCCTCCTGGGTGTAATTCACGCAGACCCCAGGACATCCCTTCAAACCAAGCAAGGCGGACAGCGAGCCTGATGACAGCCGTCTCTCTCCGGGGCTCTAGAAGCCGCCGCCGCCGCCGCCGCCCTCAACCACCAAATGCAAGGACGGTTCCTTAGCCAGCCAGGCTCCCTCCAATTTTGTGTATTGTTTCTATCCTGTGAAAACCGCCTTTGGAAAGATAGTTCTGCTTCTATTTTATAATAAAAGCGAGACATCCAGCACAGTGATGCGAGAAGTGGGGAAGGGCTTTCGTTTTTAGCCAGCCGTCGGCGCTCTGGGTTCGGATTTTCTCGGTGTTTTTAAAACAAGTCAATAACCGAGAGCCAATCGCGTCGGGCAGCAGAGCCGGGCAGGGCTCTGGGGAAAGATGGTCGCAAGAAGTGGCGAAACACAACAGCCAGAGTGTGCGCGGGGCGTGGCAAAAAATCGCCCGCGTTTCCGCACCTCAAAAAACAAAAACAACAAAAAAAAAAACCTTCGATCAGGCTGCCGCCTCTACCACCATCCGTCTTTTTTGACCACCCTCTGCCCCGCTCCCCTGACAGAGGCAGCAACCTTCAGTGGCAGGGCCATCTTTCCTAGAATTTTTCAAGGAAAATGAAAGAGTTTTCCCGAGGAAACGGACCCGCATCGTTTAGGAAACGGAAGTTTCCCCAAATGGGGCGGGAAGAGGGCTTGGCTCTTTTTCCTGGGTTACCTCAGGTCGCTGCATAAGCCATTTTGTTCTAGGCAGTTCACAAGTTGAAACTCTCCGCAACCCCACTGGTCACCAGATCTGCTTCCTTCCAAATTGCAAAGCAGAGGCTTCCCTTCTGTGCTTTTTTTTTTTTTTTTTTGCAAATCCCAGTAATTTAATGCTCAGTTTTAATCCCAGTTTTAATGCTCAGGGTCCTAGTCCTCTTTGAGCAGGAGGGAAGGTGAACTTTCTCTCCTCCTCCCTCCCCCCGAAAAAAACCCTATTTTCTAACATTTCTCTTGAAATTCCTGAAAGACAGAAAAAATGATGGAGACAGTGTTGCACCTAGAGAGAGAGAGAAGAGAAAATGGGACTGAAGGTGTAAATTCCAATGGGGGGGGGAAATCAGTGAGAAATATTTGAAGGAAAAAGTGGTCCAGGACAGAAAGGTGGGGAGAGAAGAAAAGAGAAGGGTATCAGGGTCCAGAGAACTAGCCAATTTAGGTAGTGAAAAGTTCCAGTGGTTGCTCCTGCTAAATTGGATACTGGAGTCCAGAGACCAGTTCAACCTGAGAGTTATGAGAGTTAAATGAATAGTAGCTTCTTCAAGATCCAGTGATTTCATGGAACCATCTATGAAGTTTTCTTGACAATACAAAAGTAATTCACAGCTTCTTCCATGATATTTTCTCCATTTTAGTATCTCCCCCCACCACCCTTCCCAGATTACAGCCCCAAGATTTCCTAATGATTTCTATCCAAGTAGCAAGCCAGTTTGGTGTAGTAGTTAAGGTACTGGCCTAAAAACCAGGAGGTGTGGGTTCTATTCTCACTTTAGGCATGAAAAACCAGCTGGGTGACTTTAGTCCAGTTACTCTCTCTTAGCCCAATTCATCTCACAGGATTGTTGTTGTGGGGAAAACAGGAGAGAAAGGAGTATTATGTATGTTTGCTTCCTTGAGCTACTTCTAAAGTAATAAAGGCAGGATAAAAATCTAATAAATAAAAAATAAATACTGTACTAATCAAATGTGACCTCACTCAGCTTTTCCATACCAGTAAAAATATGCCAAAATTATTAGTGCAAGCCATATTGCAATCCTGGAGAGGTTTACATAGATTCCATTAAATTCAGTAGGGTTGATCTCCACCAGGATGCATGTATGAAATTTCCATTTGATCAGTTGCCCATTTATTGAGCAAAATAAATGGTGCTTTTGTCATACATAGGACATATGTACTATGAACTCTATCTGCTATCAGCCAAAATGTTTTCAATCATGAATGAAATTTCCCCATGGATTACACATGAACCTTTGAGTTGCCAAAGAAACTGGCAGGACTCACCCATTGGTGAGCATGACGGTAAGACCGAAGCTCAGTTTTTAATTTTTGAGTATGGTTTTGCTTTAGCACAGTTCCACAACCATTCCCTGAACTAGGATTGCTCCTGATCTTGCAAAAACAAGCTGGGCCTGTTCTGAAAAATAGTGTGGAATGAAGCCAAATACGATTTCCTTCCATTTCCCATTATATTTAATTGAAAGTAAATGTGCTCTCCAATCGAGGATTTTATTGTTTCCTCCTTTCTCAAACAAAACATTATGATTTGATAACGATTTCTAGAGATGTGGTGCAGGCTGGCTCAATTGTTCAGACTGCATGCTGGAGCATCACCTGCTATGCTGCAAATAACTTGCAGTTTGTGAATCACTGTGGCTTATTCAACAAATGCTGATTAAGCAAACCATTAAACACTATGGCGAGTGAATCTGATCAAGAATTGGTTGGAAGGTTGATCCAAACATCCACCAAGTCTCAAAATGGGTATGTATACTGAGAGGCAGTTCACCACCATCATCCTCGCCCTTCCTGGATTAATGATTTCTTCCTTTCCTTTCCTGGAGCTTGGAAAATATAAATGTTTCAAATGTGGAAGTGATAGATAAGGAGGCTTTTAAGATTTTCATGTTGCTTTTGGTGGAACCAGCCATAAATCAATTCTGATGTCAAGTTTTTCTTCTCTGGATTAAAGTTTGACTTCAAAAGAAACAAAATCATCATTAGAAAAAGCATGCAGTCTAAACGTGTGTGTGTGTGTGTGTGTGTGTGTGTGTGTGTGTGTGTGTGTGTGTGTAAGTCAAATATATCTCTTGGCTCCCAAGTATGACCATCTCTATGGAGGGTAGACAATATATTTCAGGTTTATGGAGTTTATCTCTGTTTTTGAATAGAACTAAAGAGCCATTGGCTGGAGTCTGTTCAAAAGTTGTAGAATCAAGAGATTCTGAGCCATGGGCTGTGTTTTGAGGAACTGAGTAGATTTCATACTCCTGTCATGCAAAGATCCACTTCTAGCTTCTTACCCTTAAAGCTCTTGCAGTTCTGGTTGCCTGCTACTCTTACACAATTGTGGGTAGGAAATCTAACTGATATACAATCACATCAAAGTCTACTGTACTAATAGATACAAAACTACCTACTGTCCATCTGCTCCAAATTAGATTATGCATATTTTGCTTGAGCTAGCCAATTCTGAATAAGTATTCTCTCCCCCCCCCATTTTTTTTTATATTAGTACCTTTCAATGCCACCCTCAGCCAATCTGTAAACCTTAGATTGAATTTAAACAATGATCATGGGTTGCAATTGGTGAACCAAGAAAATGCTATGATGGTCTTTCCCAACCAGATGCCTTTTACATTGTGTCAAAATACAACTCTACTGTTCCCAGCCAATGCCATGCCATTTTAGGATGATGGGATCTGATGTCTACCCAGTCAGCAAAGACTGAGAAAAATCCTGCAGATCTTCAGCTTCTTAATGCACCATCTCTCCCAACTAAGAACTCACCAACCCAGGATAAATTTTAGAAGTACCCAAGATCTGGCTTCAAAACCACGTACAAAGAGGATGTGAAAGCAAGTTTCTGTTCACAAAATGGTCCAAGATAGAAGGGGAGAGGGCTTCTACAGATTAAACAGCTACAGAGAAGAGGGCTTTCAGGCAGTGTTGAGAACTCAACTGTTAGCTTTGCAGAGTTCGTATTCTCGGGTTTCCCTATCCAGTAGGCTACTTTCATTGCAAAGAGGGTTTGAATACCACTGAAAGGAGAAGAGATGAAGTTAGACTTTGCAGCAACCTCATAAAGGGCCACTGAATTCAATAAGTCTCTGTCCTAAGTCTGCAAAAACATGTAGATTTACTTCAAAGTAAATCTCTTTGAGGACACACTGAGCATCTAGAATCTACTGCAATGTCATTCATGACCAACCTATATTTAGGTGAACTCTTTTAAAACTCCCCTTCTTCTTTTGCCCTCAATTGTTCCCAGCATTAGGCTCTTCTCCAGTGAGTCCTTCCTTCTCATTAAGTGGCCAAAGTATTTCAGTTTCATCTTCAGGATCTGGCTTTCTAAAGAGGGGTTGATCTCCTCGAGGACTGGCTGGTTTGATCATCTTGCAGTCCAAGGGACTCGCAGAAGTCTTCTCCAGCACCATAGTTCAAAGGCCTCAATTTGAACTATGAAGTTCAGCCTTCCTTATGGTCCAACTTTTGCAACCATACATTGCAACTGGGAAAACCATAGCTTTGACTATATGCCCTTTTGTTGGCAGGGTGATGTCTCTGCTTTTTACTATGCTGTCTAACTTTGCCATAGCTTTCCTCTCCAGGAGCAAGCATCTTTTAATTTCATGGCTGTAGTCCCCATGTGTGGTGATCTTGGAGCCCAGGAAAATAAAACCTGACACTACTTTCATTTTTATTTGCCAGGAATTGAGAGGGCCGGGAGATATGATCTTAGTTTTCTTAATGTTGAGTTTCAAGCCAACTTTTGCACTCTCCTTCTTCACCTGCATCAGAAGGCTCTTTAGTTCCTCTTCACTTTCTGCCATTAGAGTGGTATCATCTGCATATCTGATATTTCTCCTAGCAATCTTAATTCCAACTTGTGATTCATCTAGCCCCGCCTTTCTCATGATGTGCACTGCATATAAGTTAAATAGGCCTTGCCGAACTCCTTTCTCAATTTTGAACCAATCAGTTGTTCAGTGTCCAATTCTCACTGTTGCTTCTTGACCCGTATATAGGTTTCTCAAGAGACAAATAAAATGGTCTGGTACTCCCATCTCTTTGAGAACTTGCCACAGTTTGTTGTGATTCACACAATCAAAGGCTTTAGCATCAGAAGTAGGTGTTTTTCTGGAACTCCCTAGCTTTCTCCATGATCCAGCGTATGTTGGCAATTTGATCTCTAGTTTCTCTGCCTCTTCCAAATCCTGCCTGCATTTCTGGTAGTTCTCAGTCCACATACTGCTGGAACCTAGCTTGTAGGATTTTGAGCATAACTTTGCTAGCATGTGAAAAGAGTGCAATGGTGCGGTAGTTTGAGCATTCTTTGGCATTGCCCTTCTTTGGAATTGGAATGTAAACTGACCTTTTCCAATCCTGTAGCCACTGTTGAGTATTCCATATTTGCTGGCATATTGAGTGTAGCACTTTTACTGCATCGTCTTTTAAGATTTTGAATAGCTCAGCTGGAATTCTGTCACCTCCACTAGCTTTGTTGTTGTTCAGACTTCCTAAGGCCCATTTGACTTCACATTCCAGGATGTCTGGCTCGAGGTCAGTGACCACCCCATCATGGTTATCAGGGATGTTAAGCTCGTTCTTGTATAGTTCTTCTGTATAATTTTGCCACCTCTTCTTAATCTCTTCTGTCTCTGTTAGGTCCCTGTCATTTTGGTCCTTTATCATGCCCATCTTTGCAACCCACTCCAGTATCTTTGCCATGAAAACCCCATGGACGCTACCAAAAGGCAAAAAGATATAACGCTTGAAGATGAGCCCCTCAGGCTGGAAGGTGTCCAATATGCTACTGGGGAAGAGCAGAGGGCTAGTACTAGTAGGGCCAGTGGATCAAGTTTTGTCAGAACTCTCTGCTATGACCTGTCTGTCTTGGGTGAACCTGCACAGCAAAGCTCATAGCTTCATTGCGTTGCATGAGCCGCTTCACCATGACAAGGCAGTGATCCATGAAAGGGCATATTTTTATAAGTTTTTTTAAATATAGTAAAAATATACAAAAAAAGAGCAAAGATAGAAAATAAGTAACAAAGATGATAAATTTTAAAAAAGGAAAAACATAAAGTTATGCCTTCTGCCCTTCTTTCTGTTGAGTGGTTACCATCTTAAACTTTTCCCCAATCTCTTTATTCCCTTTTAATCTCAATGTCATCAATACATATTTTTCCTTCTTTCAACTGAAAGTTCATATAAGGTTTCCAGTCTTCCAAAATGGTATCTTTTTTCAGTAACCGAAGGTTTCTTGAGATAAAATTGATTATCTGGATTCTTTCAGTTCAAGGATGGATTTAGGTCGTAAAACACTTGGCTACCTTATTGGATGCCCTTGGAAAGTAGAAAACAAAGTTATCCCAGGTGGTTCTGCTCATATTTACATCAACACTTGATATCACAATGTTTCCTTTCCAGGATGTTTGGCCAGTAGAGAATTTGAAGGTTCTTTTTGCAATAGCTTTGTTCTTAATATCAATTTATGTTGGGTCTAGTGGTTAAGGCACCAGGCTAGAAAGTAGGAGACCATGAGTTCAAGACCCACCTTAGTCATGAAAGGCCAGCTGGGTGAATTTGGACCAGTCTCTCTCTTTCTCTCTTAGCCCAACCCAACTCATAAGGTTGTTGTTATGGAGAAAATAGGAGGAGGAAGATATGTTGGATATGTTCACAGCCTTGAGTTATTTGTAGAAACAATTAAGGCAGGAAACAAACAAATACATAAAATAAATAAAAGTATTTGATAAGGTGTAAGCTCCACCATAAGATAGAATGGAACAACTCTTGCTCGGTTATTAGTTTGTGAGTTACCTGGGTCTATTTTACCTGTTGGCTTCAACTTTACATACAACCAGAGAAGCAGGTAATCTAAAACCAGGACAGGGGAGGGGAAGGAAAGGAAAGGAAGTTGGATCTCACCATCAGGCTCCAGATTCCCA